AAGACAGTTAAGCCAGGATTTGAGAGGGTAGAATAAAAGAAGAAAACCTAATCCTCACTCATGGCTAATCACTGCAGTTCTCAAACTTTTTGATCTCTAGATTCTTTTACATTCTTAAGAATTATTAAAGATCTCACCCCCATGCCCACCAAACTTTTATATGGGCTATCTACTGATAGTAACTATTAGAAATTAAAACTTAGAATTTAAAACATATTTGCTCATTATTTTACTTAAACATTAATGCACATTAACATTAATCATACATTTTATAAGTGAAAAATAACTATATTTTCCAAAACAAAAACATTTCAGTGGGAAAAGTGGCAAATATCTTTAATGTCTGACTCAATTAAAAAACCACTGGAGGAGCATTTGAGATCTGCCCCCTGGCATATGTCATCTGTTTGGTTCAAATAAACTCTTATAAACGTTTAAAAACAACAACAACCCAAACCACTGGATTCTCTCAAATCTGCTTCTACCGTTGAGTCTGTTACAATATATATCACGTAGCCTCTGGAAAACTCCACTGTACACTCGTGAGAGAAAGAAAGTGAAAAAGGCAAATAACCTCTTAGTATGATTATCAAAATTGTTTTGGCTTTGGAAACCCCTAGGGTCACTGAACACTTTGGCAGGTGCTACTGTACTGTATTAAACAATAACGACTTTATGGCAGACGTCAGGGGAATAGGTAATCTCTGGTTTGCACGAACGTTGGGCTTTGATTTGTAGACATCCTAGACTTTACCGGGGCACCAGCGAGAAGACAGGGAGGACAGCATGTCCCTCACCTCGACCAAACCTTATTCTGTGAGCTCTACCCGGGTTTACCCAAGAGTTTCCGACTTGGACTACAACTCCCAACAGATCTTGCGGCAGGGGGCGTGTGTCAGCAGTCGCGAGGTGCTTGTGTGATTTCGGCCGAGTGACGGAAGTGGAGGGGGCGTGCCTGTTCCGGTAGGCGCAGTGCCTCAATTGGAGGAACCGGGAAGATGGGGCGGAGTCAATGCTTGGAATAGCCAATGGTTTGCAGTTCGGCAGAGGGGGGCGTGGCGTGGCAGGGTTCACTTGCGGGCTGCGTGGGGCTCCCCGAACCCGAGAAAGCGGATTTGGGGGCCGGGACGACCCGGGTGGGAGATGGCGGCACGATGGAGCAGCGAGAACGTGGTGGTGGAGTTCCGCGACTCCCAGGTGAGCCGGGTGCCAAATGGAGCCTTCTGGGCATGCGCTCTCCCGGTTCCCCTCCCCCACGCTGCCGGGTCCGTCTCGGGGTTGGCGAGGCGGCTCCTCCAGCCGGTGTTGCGGAGATGAGCTAGCTAGAGGGTGACCGAGAGCTGTCAGTCCTGAGAGTGCGAGCGGGCGGTTGGGGCAGGCACGAACACGGTTTTGGGGTTACTCGCGGGGGTACGGGGAGTGGGGTCTGCTTTGGGACCCCGAAGCGCAGAGATTGCGCACAAGCGAGTGACGAGGGGTGGCTCCCCAAGGCCAGGGTGGTGAACTTGGTGTTTGCTCCTCGAGGCTCGGGGCCGCGCTTAGTGACTTTGGGCAAGTCGCAGAACTCTGAGCTTCGGCAATGGAACTTAACCCACCTCACAGGATTTTGGGGTGCAATTCATTTGAAAAAAACCGGAATGCAAAGTGCCTGTTTCAGTGCCTAAGCTTTTAAGTGGTTGCTGGTGCTCGAATAGTGGAAAATCCCGTCTAGTGAGTGAATAGGAGTGTGCGTTGCACGTATTGCCTGGGTTGAACCCAGCTCAGTCCCTAGCCTGTCATCACCTTCTGCGTACTAGTTATTCTCACCTGTAAGAAAGTGTGAATCGTATCTACCTAATAGGGTTGGCATGAGAATTCGGAGGTCATACAGTTAGAATGTGTGGCACAGTGGCAGGCACAAGGTAAGCCTCAAAGAATGTTAGCCCTTACTAGGGATTTTTACCATTTTTCTATTTCCTGTCTTCCATATGCCAGGCTGTGCTGTCATTAATTCATGAAAGAACCACACATGATAAGTAGATGTTATCCCCTTTTTCCAACCGGGGAAGCTGATCCTGGTTTGGCTGATCCTATGACTTGACTAAGGCCTCCCATTATGTGGCCACATTGGGATTTGAACTCGGGTATCTGGCCCCGGAACTCTTGTTGGCCTCATTACACTACCCTGCATACTGTATGAGTCTATCGTACAGTTGTCCCTCAGTCAATATCATACCCACCCCTTCCCTAGCACCTAGGACTGTGTCTGGGTGATATTCACATACTAGGGGCCCAGTGCACGAATTCGTGCACCTTGAAAGGCACTGTGGGCCATAAGGCTGTGGTGGGCACAGGGGCAGGTCTCTACCCATTCTTCACGCTCCTGCCTGACCCCTTCCCGCCATGACCCCCAGTCCCCTGCCTGCTGGCAGCCCTGCTCCTGCCACCACTGCTCCCACACGCTGATGGTGCGGAGCGATTGGGGCCAGTGCCAGCAGTGGGTGTGAGCAGGGCCGGCGCAGGCAGCAGGTGCGAGTGCCGGGTGGGACCACAGCACACAGGAGAAAAGAATTTTCAGTAACCACCAGAGGCTCACCCTGATGACAGCAACTGGCACCCCACCTTGGTCTGGCGTCTCTGCTCACCTGCTCCACCATCCTGCCACGGCTGACACCCGCCATGTTCCACGCGTGCCCCCTGGTGGTCAGTGCACGTCATAGTGACCAGTTGTTTGTTCTGCTGTTTAGTCTATTTGCATATTAGGGTTTTATATATATAGATTTCTGGAATACCTTTTGTGTGCCGGGCTTTCAAGTCACTCATTTATTCAGCAAGGATTTATTGAGCTCTTGTGGCCAGGTGCACACTGTGCCTGGCACTGTGTTGATACTCAGGTGATTTATTCTGAAGGGAAAATGGATTATAACAAGGGGTGATATGGTTTCTTTCTAAAACCCCATCCCATTTTTCCATAAAGACAATTTCTGAAGGAGCCACCCACCAATTTGCTCTTTGGTGCTTCCTGATGCATAGTTCCCATGGAGAATTTGAGTAGCCGCATCCTGATGAAAGGATCCTGAACCACTTAGCACTGTCAGCATGGTATCTGCTCTCCCAGGGGAGGTGCCAGACTCGGAAAAAACCATATTCCTGTTATCCATATTGTTAATTGCTTTCACTGGGGACTAAGAGCAAAATCATGTATGGTACCTCTGAACCTGCTAATTTGGAAGTTGCTAATCTGTAAACCCTTTAATTCTCAGAGAAACCCAGGCAGTCTCACCCCTACTTCTCTATAGAAATGTAATTGAAGAGACCTACAGAGAGAGAGTGCTGGCACATATATTAGGATGCTATGAAGTAGTATCAAGTAATTAATCCGAAACAGCCATTGTCAAAGTAAGAAGACAAAGTAAATTGGGTAATTTAACTACCTTGTGGGAGTTTCTGTTCTTTCTGATTTTTCTATTCAGTTGGAAGGGTACATCTTAGCATGACTTAGCATGGTTTTGTGGTTGAATCTGGTGCTAATTAGGACCCATTTCATGAACTATTTCATTAATGTAGAAACAAAAAGTTGATACTCTTAATATTGTCTTTCGGAAAAGAAAGCCCAAACAATAAACTTTTTAAAACCCCTCCTCTTTAAAAAATCATTAAAAAAATTAAAGCTGTTAGGTTTTTCAGTGAAAAACCCCAGCCGGAAAGGTGAAGCTCTTTAACAGCTTATGCAGGCATCATCCACTTTGTAAAACAGTGCCTTGAGATGTTACTGTCACCGGTTACTAGTGAAGAACCTGTGCTACTTGGCAGCTACTCTGAAGTGGTCCCTGGAATCAATGAATGTTAGCACTATAAGAAAATTTAGATAGAATCTTCTAGGGCAACACCATCCAGTGATGATGGAAATGTAGCCATTGAACACCTGCAATGAGGCTAGTGTAACTGAGATACTGTATTTTTAATTAAATTTTCATTAATTGCCATTTAAATAATCACTTGTGACTATTGGCTATGGTATTGGAAAGTGTAGTGGAGATTGGATAGTTTCCACTCTCAAAGAGAGGTAAGGTGGCGGAATGTTAACAGGCCTCTAACTCAATAGTAAAAATAAATTTAAAAAAATACTACAGGATATGATTATTGTATGATGATAGGAACTTTGGACTCAAAGAACTCAACTCTCTGCTGAATGGCTCTACTTCAGCATCTGTGAGATAGCTCAAACTCAGGATGTCCAAAGTCGTTGGACATACTCTAGGACTTCTCTCCTTGCACCCCAGCGTTTTCCCCCTCATCTAATACATCCTCCAAATAGCTAGAGTGACTTCTAAAAATCCAGGTTTATTGAGTTATAATTAATGTACAATAAAATTTACCTCCCATGTGTACAATTTGATGAGTTTTGACAAATGTATGAAGTCCTGTAGCTACTCTAATTAAAATATAGAACATTTTTATTACTCTAAAAAACTCCCTCATGCCCCTTTGTAGCCAGCCTCCTTTCCTCACTCCCATCCTCTGGTAGCTTGCTGAGGTGACATCTGTAACAAATGAAACATACAGTGTGTTACCTTTTTTTAATCCTCATCCGAGGATATTTTTCCATTGATTTTTAGAGAGTGGAGGCAGGGGGAAAGACAGAGAGAGAGAGCGAAACATCGATTGGTTGCCTCCCCCATGCACCCCAATCAGAGTCTGGGATGGAGCCTGCAACCGAGGTACATGCCCTTGACCGGAATCGAACCCGGAACCCTTCAGTCTTGGGGTCACACTCTACCCACTGAGCCAAACTGGCCAGGGCCAGTGTGTTACCTTTTGAGTATGGCTTCTTTTACTTAATCTAGGCAGGGGTCCTCAAACTATGGCCCGCGGGCCACATGCGGCCCGCTGAAAATATTTATCTGGCCCGCCGGGTGTTTTTTTTTGCCGCCGCTGCCTGTCCTGCTTAGCAGCCGACTCGTCCCGGGCCCGCAGTGCGCATGTGTGGAATGTCTGAGGGACAGTGAACTGGCCCCCTGTTTAAAAAGTTTGTCAACCTCTGATCTAGTGCTTTTGAGATTTACTCATGTTTTGAACATATTATTTAGTCTCTTCCTTTTTATTGCCCAGTAGTATTCCAGTGTATAGATAGATCATAATTTGTGTTTTCCAGTTTTTGGCAATTATGATTAAAGCTATGATAAATATCAAGGTGATTTTTGTCCTGTTTTTTTTTTTTCTTTAAGATAATTTTTAAAA